TTTTTTTTTTTTTATTATAAAATCAACTTCTTTTGATAGAAATGAAGATGAGATGGCTCCAGTTGAAAAGTATCTACCACCATGTACAGCAGCCAAGACCAGCAAATGGCATTAACTTGATACTACTGACAACACAACAGAATAGGACAAGAGAACTATCTACACATTGCCCACATATACCAAGCAGCAATATCTGTCCAGTAGTCAGTCTTAAAACCTACCCCATACTATGCAGACAGTTTCATGCATTATCACTACAAAAACAGTTCTCTGAATATCAAATGAAAGTATGTACGAGTATACACACTGGTACAAGTACTTGTAATAAAAGAGTAGACAGGTCAAAAGTACCGACACTGAATGAGGAAGATTTGGAAGAAAGCTTTGTTCGAGGAAGTGGTCCTGGGGGACAGAGTGTCAACAAGACTGCAAGTGCTTGTATGCTAAAGCATATTCCAACAGGTAAGTGACATTTAGTGGTTGCTGTTGTAGATTGTAATATTCCAGAGGACTGCAAGTAATTAGTTAAACAGTCTTGATTTGTGTAAGAAATTTCATAGTGTATTCATTATTTCCTACAATTTTGTGAGTGCATTTCTCTCTCTTATCCTTAGGTATTATTGTTAAATGTCATGAAGACAGAAGTTTGCATAAAAATCGTACTACAGCTCGTAAGATGATGATTGAAAAACTGGATCAGCTTTATAACGGCGAAATGAGTGTTGCTGCTCAGCTGATGAGAATACGTGATGAAAAGCAAACAAAAGCTCAACAAAAAGCAAAGAAAAAGCAGATGATGAAAAAGGCATGGAAAGAGCGAGAAGGATTGAATGAGAATTAAAAGTTGCACACAGAAAAAGATTTTCAGGAAAGGTATGAGCCAGTATAATGAACTTTAGAGATGTAATGTAAATTAAAAGAAAATATAAATGATAATGAATGTGTACTCGCAGGATTTTTTATAATAAATTATCAATACAAAGGATTTTTTTTTTTTTTTTTTTTTTTTTTTTTTTTTTTTTTTTTTTTTTTTTGCTACAACCCTTAAAATCTGTATGTATCTGTACATGTTCAACATGTTAGTATGGATTCTAAAAAGCTAATATTGCTTTTTGTTATACCAAAGTGGAAACATTTATTATATCAAAATATTAAAAAAATAAAAATATTAATGTTATTATTTCTCCCCAAATTAGCTGGTCATACAACAAAAATAGCAGTCGCCATATTTAAGAATTAGTACTTAAGCAACACTGAAAGGCTGCCTCACATATTAAATCAATGACAAACAGTTATAAAAAACTGCAGGTCTAAATGTCCTAGTTATCTTTTTATTTACATATAACTATATTAATAAAATATATACTACTTTGTTCTCTTATTCACGTAGATTTACAATGGGAAATAAAACTACTGTTCAATATTTCTGGTTCTCAATAAATATTTTTCTTTAAAAAAAAATCTGTATATAACATAAACTGAAAATAAAAACTTTGCACTACATACACTCAAAATGTTGCATATTTAAAGATTTTTCCTTGTACATGTATGACATCATAACCATTACAGAATGATGCAAAACAAATAGACTACTTTAAATCTTATAACCCTCCAATGGTATGGCTGTGTCTTACACCTTAAACTCAAGTACTTTGCATGGTTGTCTTTTTTTTTAATGAAAATTTCCATATCTGTGCCCTTCAAATTCTGAAACTTATTCTCCGATTACAAGATTTATAGAGCAAAATTTTAGACACTGTCTAATGCCTAAAATTGCATCCAACTGGTCTACTCATATATTGTATATAAATACCCTGAATAAAGTTTAATTAACCTTTTAAACTTTAAACACAAGCTATTATTTTCTAGCTGACTATGAAAATTACATTTTGGGAAATCTTTTCAAGAGTCAAATCTTTCTATTCATTCATAGCCAATAATTGGCTCCTGGCAAATATGTTAGTCTAAATGAATTATTCTATATAATATTTACAAAAGAATATAAATCTTGCGTATTAAATGCATAAAACGAGTCTGCAAAATGTATATCAAAATATTGAACTGTGTGAGAATTGCATATAAACACCACTTCTATTTCTTTATGTAAAATCTATGATATACTCTTCATCATGTGGAAACATTCAAACATTTACTTGCAAGAGAAAATGTGCAAAACCCAGATAAAAACAAAGCCAAATCAATGAAGAGTTATAGATTCAATACAGGTTATATAATTCATATGTATGCACAATTAAAATTTTCACATATTATATAATATGAAAATAATTTCAGTCAGTATTTCTTCAAATACTATGATTTTTTTCAATATGCACATTGAAATTAACTTTAATTAAAGCTCTCTTGTATTAAAAGTAATTAAATGTTTAACACTTTAAAATGTGTCACTCAAATTTATCATTAGCATTACAAAAAACTATCTACAAACTGATTACTTAAAACTGTCTCAGTGGTTTCATTCTTCCTGAGTCAATACTGTCTC